TGTTAAATAAAATAAATAAATTAATAATATTATAAATGAGAAAGTGTGTATGTTTATTTATTTGTCCTTCCTTGACGCGTTAACTAAAAATAATATTATATATATTATAAAAAATAAATATTTAAAATATATAAAAATGGTTATAGGTGAAGTACCTATTCTGACTATGATCGACTGACCGTACTTTCGCCCCTATGTGAATTCTGCGATGCCTAACGTCAAAAATTTTGGAAAGAGTAGTCTGTACACAGATGACGGAGTACCTTGAGGCTAATAATATCCTGCCTAAAAAGCAATCCGGATTCAGAAAGTCTCGTAGCACTGCAACCGCTCTCATGGATGTAGTGGATGATATTCTGACTGCACAAGATGTTGGAGAGGGTACTATGTTAGTTTTGCTTGACTTTTCCCGAGCCTTTGATGCCATTAACACCACTCTACTCTTATCAAAGCTCGCTTTCTATGGATTTGATAATTTAACAATAAAATGGTTTGCGAGTTACCTCACTAATCGTACACAATTTGTTAAAATAAATAAAGACAATGGATCAGAATGGATATCTACCACGTTGCCAGTTCCAAGAGGTGTACCTCAAGGATCCATTTTGGGGCCTATACTTTTTATATTGTATTGTTCAGATATAGTGAACACCATAAAAAATTGTAGTTATCATATATATGCTGACGACCTTCAATTGTATATGTCTTTTAAACCTAGTGACACCAATATAGCAATAAAAAAAATCAACTCAGATTTGGACCGCATAGCCGATTGGTGTGATCAAAATAATCTCGTATTGAACCCCATTAAATCGAAGTATATGTTACTGGGAACGCATAACCAGACAAATAATATTCTAACTTTCAATCCGCAAATTAACATCAAGACTACTCCTTTAGAACGTGTGTTGGAAGCTCGGAACTTAGGTCTCGTTATGGACGGAAGGTTGCGTTTTGAGGGTCATGTGCAAGAAACCATGCGAAACTGTTTCTATAGACTCAAAGTCTTGTACCAGATCAGAGAGTATTTGACGGTGGACATGCGCATTAGGTTGTGTGAATCACTCATTCTGTCGAAGCTAACTTATGCGGATACAGTATTTGGAGAATGCTTGCTCGCAAGAACGAAAAAATCAATACAAAGGGTTCAAAACGCCTGCGCACGTTTCTGCTTCACAGTCCCTAAGAGATCACACATCACCCCATTTTTAAATCGACACGACCTGATGAGTATGGCTGCTCGACGTACTCTCCACCTTGCATCATTGCTTTTTGGAGTTATAAATACCAGGGAACCATCATACTTATACCAAAAACTTATTTTCTCGCAGCGTGCGATTAGGACAGCATCACGACTCACATACCCTAAGCATCACACAGCTGCCTTCCGTGGTAGTTTCCGTTTTGCTGCCACGAAGTGCTGGAATGATATACCACCACCGATCAGAAATAGTAAAACAGTTGACACTTTTAAAACTTTATTAAAAAAGTTTCTGATTTCCGTACAAAAATCCAGCAAATAGGCATAAATGGTATGATTTAATCTCAATGCCAGTACCGTACATGCACATACGAACGCACTCACATACTCAAACACGCATGCACACATACACATACACAATTTATTTTATTTTTTCTGTATGCATACCACCGTTCGTCCATCTTTACACTATCAAAGTTGCACGGACACGTGGAATTTTTTTCTGATTTTATTTTATATTTATGTTTAGTTCATTTTTTCTCTTGCTTCTGGCTTCACTGAAAATCAGCGTTACGAATTGATGTATTTATATCTTCAATTCGTGACTTAAAGCTGAGTGGAGACCATTTTGGTGCATATTTTGTTATTACTTTTTAAATATTTTTGATAAGATATTAAAAAAATGTTTTATTTTTATTCTTTTTGTTATAATGTATGTACCAAATAAACTTTTCTTTCTTTCTTTCTTTCTAACGCATGCAAATTGCATGGTCAATCGTCGGGAATCGCAACGCTTGGTTCGGAAGAAATAGGTAGATAGTGTAAACAACAAATAAACCTACGTATCAATAGGAAACAATAAACTACGAAAAAATACGATTCCTAACAGAAATGTGATCTATTCTACTCTCTTAAAAATCTTCTTAGTATACAAAGTTTTAATTTCAGTATTTTGTGTTATTATCACTTCAAATATTTTAATTACAAAATACAAATATAGGTATGTATGTAAGTAGGTAAATACTTGGTATTTCTTCTGTAGACCAAATTGTTACTTAATTCTTTTTTTGCTGTAAGTACCTTTCTAACAAAAAAAATTAAATAAATTCACCTTTCATAATTTCCTTCTAAAATTCTTCGATAACTTAAAGAATGATATGAAACCTTTTGTTGGTCATTTTATTTAGTATCCATCCACGCAACAGTTATAGATACGTAGTACTATTCATTTATTCTGTGGTTATAGTAGGAACGACGTTTTGCTATTATAATTTGTCAAATAGGTAATATAAATAATATATAATTTTTAAAATACATTGAAACTTTTACAACTATTTTCACCTTGTGATTTTTTTCTTATTTACGAAAATAAAAGAAAACTTCGAGGAAAACGTCATATGAACGCCGAGTGGGCAAAGTGCTTTTCTCAGTGGTTCCATCGGATGCAGCGATGTATTAATGTAAATGGACACTATTTTGAAAAGATATAATAAAACTAATAACTTGCTAGTTTGTTCAGTTTTTCATTTTCTAAGAACTTTCAATGTCACCCTCGTAGGAGGATACGGCATTCGCAATTCGTACGGGACAAGTGACAGTTAGGATTATAATCAAGAAAGAAAAAGTAAAATTAGGGAAAGTATTGAAAGTTCAGTATCACATTTCCAAGGTGAAAGGGGAATTTTATTGAAGAAATTGCTGTTTTATTTCAAGATCCTTCAGTGTTCACTCTAATAGTAGGATTAAGAAGTATAAAATCCACATAGGCACATACGACAGGCGTCAAGACCGGGATTCCCTCCCGTCATCTTAGTCGTCAACTTTCTTTCTTTTAAGAATCGGTTTGTGAACGGAATCGAAAGTCTTCCTCTGGGGTCACGCCCGTCTCTTTGCCCCGAACCCAGCGTAGTTTGGTATTGGTCTGTGAATAGAAGGTTAATAATTGATTGATCCCTGATCGGGGGCGTGAGGTGAAGAGACCGACCGCTTCACTTACTTTCTACTTTGAAATTTGGTGATTTTTTTAAATTTTATTAAGTCCACCGTTGGTAGGTAAAGTTTAATTAAGAATAAACGAATCGTTAAAATTGGTTCACAATTTGCGAAGACAAAGTTCAAATTGGCGAAGACATCACATTACAAACTTCGAATACATTGATGATGTTCTCATTTTATTTATATTGAAGTCGGTTGTACGAAATTGTTTAATTTTACCACTTATGTTAAGTATTATATATGTTATTCTAAAAGGAGAAAAGAAAAATTTGAACTTTTATTAAAACGTGCTATGTTTCAATTTGGATTCGTCGATTAACCTCTTGTAGAAGTTGAAGTGAAGAGGGCGCTACCTATCCAGATAGACACCTCGACCAAAATGACAACCGACGAATTCAAATCGACAGGGTATCGTAAAGGAACTTAAGATTTATCTTGCTGTCTGGTCCTCAGAAAGTCAAAACAATATTGTATAACCAGTGTTTATGATACTAAAGTAGAAGGCAACTAGTGGTGACCTGCGCGTTAATTCAGACGTGGTCATGTAATACTGTTAAATAAGTTCGGGAGTTTGCTGAATGAAAAAAATATCGTGATGTTGAATGGGATTCTGAAGAATACGCGGAACTGACATATCGTAAAAAACTGATCTATAGCTGAAATACAACGGGCCGGCTATGTAGAAAAACTCACAACAGATGGAAAAGAAAGGTTCTCGACTAGTAGTGTCGTACGCTCCCGAGGAGGAGATCCCGTCTAGATCGATAAGCAAATAGAGACTTATGGCTTAGGCTCTGATTGTAGTACATTTTCATCTGAGGGATCAGGACTGAGCTTAGACAATTTTTAGAGGAGACCTCAGTTCGCCTCTGGACTTATGATAGTCTGTAATGTTGATGATAAAGGATATATTGACTAGATATTTTTTGAAATAACATCAAGCTTGAGAACATCGAAAGTTCAGTTTTAATTTCGACCGTCAAATGACATTTAGCGTATCTTAGCATTATGGGGTTTACATGATCATGGCGTCCAAATAAAACCGTAATTTATTATCTTATCTGATTATCTTTTGGATAATGTATGGTATTCAAATATTATTACTATTATCTTTGGATATATTAAAAGGACACATGATCTTTTCAGAGACTTCTACTTCTTTCATTGCTTCTCTTTCAAAAGTACTATCTCTGCTCATCTGGCATTATATCCGTATATCCTGTTCAGATGAGCTAAGGCCCAAATAAATGTAGCAGCCTAATTATAAAAGCCCAGAGTGCAATTAATAATAGTAATATCTTACAGACCTAATTTGTATGACATGAACAGCTGTTCGTGTATATACTATACAGCAACGAGGTGCTTGCGATTGCCCGTTGTCAAGTATTTCGATCATGGCAAAATCCCTTCTTTTTCTGGTTACATTAATGATGGAATGATAGACAATTTAACGCCATGGCAACTTGGTCATTGTAACATAAGGTATAGGGTAAATGAACACGACAAATACAGTTTGCGCATATCTTTTCTTTAATACGAGCATTATACAACAATATTGAAACGAAATCATCATTTTGAGATCTGCTGCCAACATACACTACTACGGGCGCTCAACAAATAAACATAAACGCGCGCTCACTAATCTATATAAACAAGTCGCATAAGTACATACAGGCTTCCCGATATCTATACATACACTAAAGCTATATCACCACTCGCCACGTCCGGAGCGTTCGGCACTTCACTCACTTTCAAACAAATGTTGATCGAATTTGTTCGTTTGTCTGTCCGTGCGCCAGTCGCGCTAGTAGATCACTTCGTACACTGTGGCCTTCTTGTCGCCGGAGCCCGTCACTATGTACTTGTCGTCCGATGAGATGTCGCAACTGAGCACCGATGATGATTCCTTTGACTGTAACAAAATTAAAACAACAATTATTTAAGTGTTTAAATACATTCTCCTCAACATAAACTAGCAATCAGTCCATTACTCTCATGGTAAAGAGGATTTGCCTCACGCTTTGCAGACAGTTTACCGATCCCGAGATCACGAGATGTTGTGAAGGAAGTAAAAGGTTTCTTATATGCTACCCGCACGCAATATTTACATAAATGCCTCGTATTCAATTGCTTAACGATTTTCTATGATATGAGTCGGTTTTCCCTAGTTTTTATTTATCGATAAAGAGTGACAAACGAGCACACAGTTCACCTGGCGGCAAGTGGAAGCTGTGGCCCGTAGAGATCCACATTTATCGTCAATTAAGAATCAAAATGCAAATGCGTTGTCACCCCTGATGACTAAGATGGAATGCCTCGTTTCCAGTAAGAAGGGTCTCCGGTTTCCTACACCCACCGTACCGAAACATAGAAGCCTTAAGCTGCTATTTACGCTGGTATTCTTTGAGTGCGTGATCCTACCCCAGTCGAGCCGACCCATTCGTGCTACAACTAATATAGTTGCAGCGTGGCTATACCACGTAGTATTCGTGATTCAATGATTCGACAGTTTGATGAGTGGTAATGGATATGAATGACCATTAATAAGACAGTTAATACTCCTAGTAGGGAAAGTCTGGTCTAAAACCACTTTATGTCCATTTCTATCTAAGCATTTATTTCCAATCCTATCTAAACAACCCTCAGTATTCTGGTCAGCTTTGAAGCATCTCGGTTCTCAAAAAAGGCCTAAGCACCTTTAGCATTCATTTCTTGAGGCTACCTGGAGTGGGGGAAGAAGGTGTCACTGACATTTTGTCATTTTATATTGCCATCAAATTTGTTTGTAAATCCAGTTTTATAAAAAAAGGAAATTGTAGAAGGATAATTTTTTCGTTGATTAACAACAATAAAAAAGTCTTTATTTCGGCTTTTCTTGCTGGTATTTTGTTATTTTGGTCCCTTATTTATTTGGAATTACGGATACATACTCGAGCAAGTGTGTGTGCGCTTTAGTGTGAGAGCGTTAATGCATGTGTACGCGTACGTGTATAGGCGTGTGCGCGTGTGCGTGCCCACCTGGAAGATGCTGGCGCCGTAAGGCGTACGCCACGCGTTCAGCAGGTTGTCCTTGCCAGTGGAGACGAACCACTTGCCGCAGGAGGCGAACCGCAGCGACAGCACGCACGACTCGTGAAGATGCAGCTGGTACTTGTCCGGCTTCACCGCGTGCAGCACTTCCACGTTGCTGTTCTCCATGCCCACCGCGAGCCACTCGCCTGCAACATAACACACATATACGTCAAACAAATATAAGACATAATCATTAAATAATTTTTTTTAGAAATTATTTCTAACTGGCTTTATAAATCTGGTTAACCTTCATATATACATTATAAGCAGAAAATCTACTATCAAGATAACACGCACAATTCTTTTAATTTAATTAAAATACATACTTAATAAGAAAGAAATTTAGGTTACTAGAAATCCACTATTAACTAACTTCTTATTTATCTTAATAAAAACTTCCAAAGTCTAATTTGCAAACCTATCTTAAGAGGTAAAGGACGCGGGTACAAAGAAAAAATATTACGTTAAAATAATAATATACCTGTGGGACAGTAGCCTAGCGAGAATATCTGTGAGCTGAAGTCATGCTGCTGCAACTGTCTGCCTTCTCTTAAGTCCCATGACCTGTAACGAGTGTTAGAAAAAATTAAAATAAGGTTACTAGCTGGTAGGATGTCCTTTCTCCCTGTGTGTCCAGGTAGGTGCCTACTACTCTCTTTCCTATTTCTGTCACCAAATCGCAGAGTTCGCACTGCAGGGTTCGGTCTGAGAGCCAGCACAAGTTGTGAGGTATTCCATCTTAGTCCTCAGAGAGGACAACGCATACCAAGCCTTCTTTGTTTGAAGTTGGATGCAGGTGTCCATGGACTATAGATACGACAATTCCATTCAAATATGTTTATTATAGTGAATACAAGAGATAGAATAGATCTTTAAAAAATGATTTTCGCTGCATGCAATCCTTAGGTATATAAATATTGTATATAGTTACAATTAAATCTCCTACATTATTATAATTAAATTATATATATGAATTAGAATAGCATATTTACAATACATATATAGTCTAATCGAATGTCAAAAAATATTATAATATTCAATGTCATTATAATATGTCTAGTGATGTGTCACTTAAATATTCATTAATTGAGTGTAAGCATTTCTCAATTAGTTATTTTTTAAATGTATGAATATTTTCCATTTCTTGAAACATTGATGGAACTTTATTGTAGAGTCAAGATATTCTACCGAAAACACTTTTTCTAAGCAAAGCTGTCTTTGATGACATTGTATAAATTTTATTTTTTCGTCGATTGTTTATAAATAGTTTTCATTAAATACTTCTGTATTAGTTTTTACAAATGTCACACCTTCATAAATATACATCGCGGGAAACGTCAACAATTAAAAAAATTTAAATTGTGATTTACAGCTCTTTGTACTTGGTATATTTGCAATAGCACAACACAATTTTTTGCGCTTTAAATATTTTTTCGCGCCTTGTATCCAATGCCCCAAAAAATGCACCGTAGCGCACAGTAGAAGATACGAAACCATGATATACCGTCCGTAAAGCATCTTCATTTACTACTTTGGATAATACATGTAGAGCGTAAGAAGACTGACTTAACTTTTTGTAAATATATTTTGTATGAGTCTCCCACCTTAAGTTATTATCAATATAAAGACCTAAGAAATTTGTTACTTTGGTATTATTAATGGTCTCACCATCGTAATTAATGTTAAGCAAATCAAGGGACCCTTTCGTTGGCAAAAATTCAAATTTTAAGTCTTATTTAAGCTTATTATTAAATTATTTCACTTAAGCTAATTATATTCTTCAGGAAGTTATTAATTTCTTTTTCATTAATATTTATTTTTGTACATGTAAACACCATGAAGCTATCATCTACAAATAGTCATATGAAAGGTTATGTTGATAGGTAAGTTGTTAATATATACTAAAAATAATAAGGGACCAAGTACGCTTCCTTGAGGAACACCAATATTTGAGGATTAAGGACAAGACCAATTAATAAATTCGTTTTTTGCCCTTAGGTAAATCTTGACTCTTACACTGTATTTATTTAATTTAATAATTAAAAAGTTAACGGACACAATCGAAAGCCTTCGAAATGTCCATATATAAGACTGTCACTGGTACTTTTCTGTCAACGTTTGTAAATACTTGGTGATAAAATTCATAAATTGCTACATTAATAGATTTATTTCAGGTGGTCAGGTTTCAGTGTGATCAGGATGATAAGGTGAACTAGTAGTAGTACTAGTAGGTTGTATATCGCTTCAGTTTTATAAAAAATGAGCACATAACTGCGTGGCTCTTCCACGTACACGTTCTTCGAAGTGTTTCAAAATTTGGCACAAAGCTAAAACAAAAGCTGATGGTATTTAGTGTAAGGTACGAACCTGACGGTGTTGTCGAGCCCGCCCGTCCAGAGTTTTGTTCCATCCGCGGATATATCGATGCAGGAGGCACCGTCCGTGTGTCCCTGGAACTGGCGCACCAGCGTCTGGTTGTGTAGATCCCACACTGCTATGTTGCCGTCTGAACAACAACTGAAGCACACCTGAAATGCAACAAATAACTGTTAAAAAAAAAGATAAAGTGACAGTAAATGCTTCCCAATATTGGGCAAAATCTTATTATGGTTTCAGAGCCAATAGAGCAAAGACCATCACGCTTCTCCAATATAACATATATTCACAGACAGACTTCACGCGTCCTCGTCCGTACATTTTGCGTTCATGACATGAAAGTTTTTAATGTTGTTTACGATATGTCGGTGTAAAATATTTTTAAGAAGAGTACAATTTTTTTAAAGAACAATGTTGACAAATGAGCACCCAGTCCACGTGACAGTAAGAGTGGATGCTGTGGCCCATACACACCTACATCTTTCATTGATTAAGAATCAAAATGTTGCCTTTTGATTGTTGAGGAGTCCACATTTTAATGACCCGAGGACTTAGATAGAACATCTTATTATCAGTAAAAAGGTCTCCGTATTTCTACACTCACCATACGAAACACGGCAGCACTATGCTGTTACTTTATGTTAATACATATTTATGTGAAAGTGTGGTCCTCCATAGGAAATGCATATTATGCTGCTGTATTCTATGCAAGTATAGTGCTTACTTTATCTGCAATGTGTCTCTACCATGTCAGTATTTTTTTATAGAATAAGAGGGACAAATAAGCACTTAGTTCACCTGATGGCAAGCGGATTTTGAGGCCCATAGACATTAACAATTATCCTCGTTTCAAAATGCTTGAAACGAATCAACATGCAGATGCATTGTCACACCTGTGGACTAAGATGAAATGCCTCGTTTCCAGTAAAACAGGGTCTCCGGATTTTTACACTCACCATACGAAACACAATAGTATTAGGTATTCTGTTAGAGTGTGGTTTTACCCCGGTTGAGCCGACCCATTCGTGCTACAACCATAACCTAGCGTGGCTCTACCACGTACGTATCTATGCAAGTATAGTCTTTACTTTATCTGCAACGTGTCTCTACTATGTTAGACTTCTTTTCCTAATCAGCCAGTAAAAGCCTACTATTGTACATCACATCAGCCTCTCCCAGTGTAAGTATGGATTTAGCCTGTACGTAACACTTAGCAGACGAATTGATGAATGTACTAGATTGTCTTGTATCTTTAAAGCTACTTTCTATTGCCAGTTTTGGTAATTTTATACATGGTGTAAACGAAATGGTATATCGCCATCTATCGTAAGCCATTATATTTTTTAGTATTTCACACTTGATGGTAAATGGTTGCGGCGGCCTATAGACATCTACATCTATCCTCGATTACGAATCAAAATGCAGCAGATGCGCTGTCACCCGTGAGGACTAAGATGGAATGAAATGTTTCCTTTACAGCTCAAAGGGTCTCCGGTTCTCTACACTCACAATACGAAACACAGCAGCATTAAGCTGCTATTTTACGCTGGTATTCTGTGAGAGCGTGGTCTTTCCCCGTCCCCAGTCCCACCTATCCGTGCTACAATTACACTACTAATATAGCTGCAGTATGGCTCTACCACGTAATAAAATGTGATGATGGATTTTCTGACATTACATATCATCACCACGTTATAAATTTGTAAATATATTTAATAAATTAAATAGTACACGAGTATGATATAAACCTTTGAATCGGGGCTGATGGCTAGTGCATAGCAAGCGGGCGCCGAAGAAGTAAGCTCTGCTTTGATCCTCGGCGTTGGAGACGCTAAGTCCCAAATCGATAGGTTGGACGCTTCCCCTCCGACTATTAGCGTGCGACCGTCCGGAAGCAGCTTCACTGATCTGATGTAGTTATCTCTTTGCTGAAATAAAACACATTATGATTAGAAACGACTATTTTTATAACAGAATATATAAAATAGGGTGGATACAATATCGATATAATTGAGTGATTTTTTTATATCCTAATTTTTATTATCTCAATTTTGATATAAGAATCGTAACATTTGAGATACGTAAATCGCCTTAAACGGTGTCAGTAGTCAACAGTATTGAATTCAATTCGTTTATATGCTCATCGGCACATATTATATACATTATAGGGGGGAGTGGGCGGAGCCCGTGTAGCCACTAAAATGTCACTAATACGTCATACGTATAAATGTCAACACGAGATGTATTTTGACGTTACAATCGTTTCCAAATTTCGCATGCAAATTATTTAGAAAATGCCAAATTGCACGCTATTTACAAATAAATATGTATTAAAATCCGTCTGTCAACACAGCGAATCGGGTTTGTAATAGTGATTAACTGATAATACGACGTGATTGCTCGTATGTGCGTAAGCGCACTACGCACGCCTATCCTCGTACAAAATAAGGTTGACAGTAATATAGTATTCTATGTTATACATATTGTATACAGTCCATTGCTAAACATGATTCTATCCCTAAGTAGTCCTAGCATATCCTTCTTGATTTTCTATAATCGTCACGTTTAGCAGGTGGTTTGGCGATTGCAGTCCAAAACGCCTCAGGCCTTCGATGTTGCCTTCTCGTCTGCGGTTTTAAAATTTTTCATCCGGTATAAATTTGAGATGGTAATACTTTTTTCGGAGGTTGTAGATCTTCTGGACATTTTCTTTATTTACCTCTTACTAAAGTATAAAACACTAGTAGGTCTTCGTTGTTTTTGTTGGCAAATCATCCCATATATCCAGTACAGTATAGTCAACCGCTATGAGACAGTCCATCAAAATTCATAGTGGATGACAATGCATTAACGGCTTTCTTCTTTTGAAGTATTGTAGCAATATGTATGTACTACGTACTTGAACAGACAACACGAACGAAACCTTTTATGGCACAGGCCAAGTAAGTTTGAACTGGGGGTATGGAGTGTAGAAGTAAGCAGAGTAAGTAGAGTACAGTACAGACTGTGTATTAAAAAGTGTCCATAAAAACCTTTAAATAAGGTGGCGCCACTATATAGCTACGGGGTAAATTTTAAGAAACGCACCGAAAAATATTAGTGGGCGCTGGACTGGCTATACCATACAAAATGACTGTGCCAATTTGAAGCGCCGCTAAAGGATGTCTTGAAAAATAAAATTGACATAATATGCCAAAGTCTGTTGTCTTATTCATATTGTCATATTTAATAAGTCTGTATTTTGAACTTTTAAACTAAAAAACGAAAGTATTTTATGTCGTTTGATTGTGTATAATATTAGTTACATAATAAGAATTATTTTAATAATAATGAGAGTGTGCGTAATCTGTAAAACTCGTTACCAAAAGGGAAGTGGTGTAACATTTCACAAGTAAGTGAATTTGTAGTAAATATTAAACAAATTAAAACTATTTGATAATAAAAGTACTTAGAAATTTGTTACTAATCTTAATAGCATATATAAAAACATGTTTGGCTGTATATTACTGAGTTTTGATAAACAATAAAATTCAATAGGGTTGTCGAGTTCCGTGTCTATAATACTTATCGATGTTCTTTCCTACCCATATCTGTTAACAAACAAAGTCACCAACAACAGATGATTATAAAATGTTTATTAATTAAAAGGTTTCCAACTGAACCTAGACTAAAATTATGGCTTAAAATCATAAATATTGTGAATTGGCGTCTGAAACAAAATGATCATATTTGTTCCAAACATTTCACAGACGACTGTTTTATTAGACATGAGAACTGCACCACTTTGAAAAAGTGCAGTATACCGACAATATTTTCTTATTATAGTACCAGTACCAAGCACTACCCACTACCAAGTACTATGTATTAGATTATTATTTCGAATGTTTTTTTTAATTTCTTCTTTCCTCATTTTCCACCAAACTCAAGGGCCATAGCCAAGTGTCGAAAGGTCGCCTGATGATGTCGAACCACGTTCGATGTATGTTAGTGGGCTGCGGCTAGAGGAGATTTATTTTCTCTCCCTGTACCGCTGTAGTCGAGGTGGATTCGTAAGGGAAGAGGAGTGTTGGTATGGCGATTGGTGATGCGCCACTCGACTGTTTTTCGCGACTTTGTTGAGGCTGCACCACTTGATGCTTCCAAGTGCTCGTTTTTCCCTGGCTCCATTCACATATCGGGCTCGGTAATTGATAATTTCAGTTATTTTTTTAATATTGTAATTTTAATTTCGAAAATGTCGTTGTAAATAACTGATAACTATGTAATTCAAAGTTTATATTTTTTTTATATTATCTTGCTAGCTCATACCCGGCGCATTGCTGCCGCAGAAGAAATAATTGTGGAAATATCGTTAAAAATGTGGAACAGTTATATTGTATAATTAGGAATGATAATACAATCATTGAAATAGAATGATATATATAACTTTCTATAACTTTCAAATAAATAGTCAGTATAATACGCACGCCACCTAGTCTCAGTTAATTGTACCATGCGTGTAACCCTCGCATAAGTGCAACCAATAAGTTGACTAAGTTTTACCGCAATCTGATGAACGATATGGCATCGCAGAAAGTGCGAACAAACATAAATTTTTATATAGTAGAAAATATTTTACTGTCAATAGACAGACGTGTAGTTGATTAGAATAGGCGTTATTATAGCAGCTGATTTGTTTTTTATAATACTAAAACAAAATGAACGGTTGACAATACATTATTCTAGAAATTATGTTTTTATTTTTATTTTGTAGTACAAAACTAATCCAACTGTAGAGATGTGTAAGACAGTGTGATCTCCGAAATACTTTACCGCTGCATTGGAAAACGTTTTCTACCTACCGGACTGGAAAGGATACGGTATTAACGTCAATGTCGTGAACGTCACTCACCTTCGATTTGCCGACAATATAGTCCTTATGACACAATCGCTGGAGGACCTACGCATTATGTTCAATGACCTCAATAGTGTCTCCCAACGGATAGGTCTTAAGATGAACATGGACAAAACATAAGTCATGTGTAATGTCCATGTCACACCTATGGCGGTGGTTTTTGGGAGCACTTAGCTGAAGTTGTTGATGAGAATTTTTATTGGGACAAATAGTCCGACTAGGTAGGTCCGTCGATTGACCTGTCAGATCACGACAGGTCAATCGACGGATTCAACTTGGCTGGGCAGCGTTCGGTAGATTACAACACATCTTCTCGTCAGGAATACCTCAAAACTAGATTGTACAACCAATGCGTGTTGCCAGTGATGAAATATGGATCTGAGACGAGGTCTTTCATGACTGCTGGCCGTATGAGGAAGCTCGAAGTCGCTCAACGAGCTATGAAGAGGGCTATGCTCAGGGTTTCAAACTTAGGAATGAGGATATCTGCAGCAGAACCAGAGTGACCGACATCGTCCAATGGATTAGTAAGCTGAAGCGGCATTTGACCGGTCATATAGCTCGCAGAACCGAATACCGATGGGGAAAAAAGGTTCTCGAGTGGTAGCCTCGTACTGGCAGGTGAAGAGTAGGACGTTCCCCCCACTAGATGGAGTCAAAACCTGGTAAGACATGCAGGAAGTTAATGGATGCAGGTAGCTCAGGACCGTGCTTTGTGGCATTCCTTGGGGGAGGCCTATGTTCAGCAGTGGATTTGTGAAGGGTTTTAATGATGATGAATGATAATGGTATTATATTAATATGATACATAAATAGAATGGACGTTATGGGTAGAATCCATCTATCCATAGAGTCCATTCTATTTATTTAGGTATAGGTAGGGTATAGAATTTTTATCGATATAATTTGGTACACTGTCTTATCCCTAGTATTAGTTCCGTGGACGTGCACTTCTGCTGTGAGCGCCAAAATGGCGGAAATCAAATCGCTTCACCATGTCACGGTGTATAGCCAGTCCAGCGTACTTGTATATATAGAGGTCAGTGGATAGACGACTTTTTCGAGGTTATATAATTACTAAATAAAATTATTTTAGATTTTAGAGCTACTGAGCAGTTTAACAGCACACTTCAAACCGTCGAAACTGCTAAGTTCATTTCATCTCAGTAGCTACTCCAGCGCTGTTATAGAGAGTTTTTGATAGTTTTTGAACTATTATTTACTGGTTACAGATGACCACTTTTTCAACAATTCTACTATGAGAGTTGGTACTCCTTACTTTTACACTCCATAACCGGGGGCTTTAACGCATTTTGCAAACAAGTATCGGTGTTTCTTTTACTACGTAGTACACATATTACTTCAATGTTTGGAAGTTAGTTGTAGAGCGTTCATTCGGCTGCATCTAGCATCTTGGATCTGCTGCTAGCATCAAGTGGCGATCTATAAGTATAAGCTGTTTTAATACTATATTATAACCCATAAAACAAAATGAGGTGATAGTTATTTCTATCAAGAGTTAATTTAAAAAATGTATAAGTGTAAAAGGATCGCGTGCAGCGCGGACAGTTACCGACTCACCAGGCAATCGAGCTGGCTGACGGGCGCCTTGGCGGGCTGGCTGATGTCCCACACCTTGACGCAGCCCTTGCCGCCCGTGTAGACGTACTTGGTGGGCGAGGAGACGGTGACGGCGCACACCACCTCGCCGTGCGCCAGCGCGGACACCTGGCGCGCGTGGCGCGGGATGCCCGGCCCCATCAGCGCGTCCGGCGGGAACGGCACCGGCTGCATCTGTCCCTCCGCCGACACGTGGAACGAGTACGCGCTGCCGACAATCACATACATCAAATTATGTTTTAAAGTTCAGTGGCTTTCCCGCTGGTTCATCTCAGGATAGAGGTTCTTTTTTTATTGGAGATTCTTTGTTTAGTGATAAAAATCCAATGACTTTCACTAACTATCTTTACGTACGTACGTACGTACGTAACTATCTTTTACGTGGTAGAGCCATGCTGCAGGCAGCTATATTATTTTTACGTGGTAGAAACATGCTGCAGCTATATTAGGTATAGATGTGGCACGAATTTGTCGGCTCGACTGGGTAAGGACCACGCTCTCACAGAATACCAGCGTAAAATAACAGCTCAAAGCGCTGCTGTTTCGTATGGGAAGTATAGAAAACCGAAAATACTTTTTATTAGAAACGAGGTAGGTTTCTTAGGCCATCTTAGGCCTCAGGGGCGACAACGTATCTGTATTTTGATTTTTAATCGAGTATAGATGTAGATATCTAAGGGACGTAATATCCACTTACAATTCGACTGTATGTGCGTTTGTTATACTTATTTTATTAAAAAAATATCTTATAAATAGGTTTAAATGGGACAATTACACCGCCGTCTATCGGAGGTCGACTCTTTTTCAATATCCATTAACACACGGCGATTTTAATGACTATTGTTAAATTATAGTAAAAATGCAAATGGAACGCATATGGTAGAAAATTTAGATATCTCTAAAAAAATTTTTTTAATAAAATAAACGAACGAGCACGATGCTGTGGCCCATAGACATCTACATTTATCCTCGATTAAGAATCAAAACAGATGCGTTATCACCCCTGAGGAGTAAAATGTAATGCCTCGTTTCCAGTAAAAAAGGAGCTCAGGAGCTCTCACTCAGAATACGAAACACAGCAGTATTAAGCTGCTATTTTACGCTGGTATTCTGTGAGAGCGTGATCCTTCCCCGGTCGAGCCGACCCATTCCTGCTATAACCACAATGTAGCTGCAACGTGGCTCTACCACGTATAAATAGAGATATTTTGATTCAGTCATTATTTCTGTGAGTAAATTATAATAAAAACACGCTATAATTACAATAAGATCGGTGATGCCATTTGATTTCATGGTTTGAAATTATAAAATTTAAATCTTTATTTTAAGTATTATTATTATTAAAAGTAATAAAATGTAAATTACTTATATTAGAGTCAGTTATTTATGGGAGGTAGAGGACTGTTTCTAAAGTGATCATGACAATTATATAAACATTTAGTAAAATGGTTAATCTATTTTAAACTTTAAAAACATCAGACTTTTTCAATATTGATTAACATAATAAAATAATTAACATATAATTAACATAATAAATATAAATATGCATGAAACAAAACCCAACATTTACTTCGAAAAATATCTGTAAAATTTGAATAATATATTGGATCTTAATTTGTTTGTAGTATGTCACACATAATCTCAGGTGTACCGGAAACGAATTGAGGAATATTCTTATCCCCACTAGATGGAGTGACGACCTGGTACGACATGCAGGAAATCGATGGATGCAGGTGGCTCAGGACCGTGCTTTGTGGCATACCTTGAGGGAGGCCTATGTTCAGCAGTGTCTTTATAAAGGGCTGTAATGATGACGATGATGACGATGTCACACAAAAATAAATTAATTTTAAACAGTAATTAGCATGTTACGACTTTCCACCATTTTGAGTTCTCCACTAAAGACTCTTTTTGAGAAAGAGTGAATTGTGATTGTGCAAAGCGTTTTTTACGTGGTAGATTTACACTGCGGCTGTATATGACTGCGACACAAAGGGTTCGCCTAAACCAGGATAGGACCACGTTCTTGCAAAATACCAGCGTAAGTAAAACAACAAATTAATGCTGTCTTTCGTAGGATGAGTGTAGAGAACCGAACACCTTTTTTACTGGTCCATTAGTATTCACGGGTGAGAACGTGTCCCTTGACTGTATGCTCACTTGTCATTGTCATCCTTATTCTATAAAATAAAAAAAGGAAATTACGGTTTGCCGCCGGGTATGGGCGCGAGCGCGGTGGGCCCGATGGGCGCACGCAGCGGCTCGTAGGCGAGTGCGGCGCGCGCCGAGTAGCCGGCGAGCCCGTACGCGTCGTGCGCACCGTTGCCCAGGTACGGGTACTGCAGCGCGGGCGGCTTTACCGCGCCCTTCAGCGGTGCGCCCGCACCCCCCGCGCCACCCACTCCGCCCGCGCCAGACGTCGGCGTCACCGGCTTCGATATCGGCGTGCTCGGCTTCTCGTCCAACTTCTTCGCGGACGGCGTCGACGCGTTGCTCGAAGTGCCCGATCTGTTGTCACCGGTTTATACTTTATATACATCGTTATTCACGCCCTAGTACACTATGTTCCTCGTGATTTACATTTAGATGTTTATTTCCAGAAATTATAGAAACAGAAAATTAATTAACTAAGATTAGAGTGCATAGTTAAAATGCATTATTTTGCACGCTAAACATAAAGAACGCATTGCACACATACTATAAATAATCTAGTTGGCGGCGCAACTCCAACTCTCCTACAATTGCCTGACAGTATCACCACTTAGCCATATATACCATTGCACTATACCGTACACCACTCTAACCTCTACGCTATAGAAAATGCATGCACTTGTCAATAATACGTGTTACGCCTCGGCAATCGGCATCATCAGGGGAAGAGCTGTGCGGTATACAGACGGTGTTATTTCTTAGTGTAGTTTAGTGATGGCAGAGATATCACAAGCGTTTGTAGGAGAGCTACAAGTGCTTTATTTTGTCCTCTTTTATTAATCTGTTTTTCATTAAAATCTCTATTACCATTAAGTGAGCCGCATGCTCGTTTGCCGCTTTTCATTTAAAAAATAAACTATAACAAAATGTCCTTTTATCATCTGATTGAAAAACCTTTTTAAAATAAAATTTGTTATAATTATGTTTTGTTTTTCATTGATTTAAAAGCTCTTAAACTAACTTTATCTTCATGTCATTCTGAGAATTGTTGAACTTATTGTTTATTTACTTTTTTGAGAATTGTTGAAATTATTGTTTATTTACTTTTTTGCACAATAGCATACTGAAAAGTGAACTTCTTGCCACAGATCATTCTCTCCCAGTCTATCACTTCCAGATCAAATAAATAATATTGTTTACTGTTTTTCCATCAGCAAATTATGGGGTTGCCAACTTATTTCACTATCGTTTTTAAGACATAGTAGTTGAGAGGCTATATACCGCTTATAAAAATAAAGTAGATGACATAAAAATAAAAATACATTTGGTACAATTTAAATGATTATTTTATTTACAAGGTTTTTCTCGCTACTATTAAGTCTTTATTAGAAGCCTCACGCCATAAGGCCTTACACTACAATAAATAGTAGGATTGGCAACCTTAACTGTACATTAGACTTAGTAGAAAGGATTTGTTGTAAATGCCGAGCTTGACCGACTAATTGGCGATCTATAGGCAGACATCTCACACCTTTTGCTTAAGTTGTAAGAAAATATTTTGACAATTTGTGAGATAACTCCTAGAAGTTTTAGATAGTTTCCAGGATTATCTTTGATACAGTAAGGGAAAGATGGACTGTTTGACTGTTAAAAGAAATCTTACGCCCTGTGTTTTAATTTTAATATGAATATTACAGGAGTTATCACGCCGATAGCTTTTCTACTGTTTACCCAAGTATGACCTTAAAACATATGTAATGTGCCAGCCAGTTCATACGTTCATACGGCTTCGTTAAACGGATACAACGATTATATCGAACTCATCGTGCTCGACATAATGCCTATTAGAAGCCTCTAGGTGCGTTACAAAACACTTAAACACCGAATCGAAGAACTTGTAAGTAATAAAAAATAATTTCTCTGACTGTGACTGATTATAACAATGATTTTATATAACGAATTGAGGTAACAGTTCACAATTGTAAACTGTTATATTATTAAGAAAATTTATAATTTAAGTTATTCCACTATAAATATAATTATTAAACTAGAATAGTATGCTCGGATCGTTTTTTTTTTTTGAAATCTCATCCCTTAGGTACATACTATTATTTAAATTATTACAATATTAATATTTACTCGTGAAATAATTAATTGTGAAAATTGTAGGTAATACATCTAACATATTCAACACTTTCTTTAAGATTGTGATCGAAATAGCAGTTAAACAAAGGCATTAAATTTTTAAACTGATATTATTGCAAACTTTTATTAGACAATATGAGAACGCAAATTAAACTACATAGTTTTTGAGACATTTGAATTACAATTTTAACTAATGCAAGCAAGGAATTCGAGGATGCTACTGGTAGGAGTAGCTTCAAATATGGATTCGTGTAGTTTAGTTAGCTATAGGTACTACTATATATTTCATTTGCAGATAAGACCGTTATAACCCGCAATAGAATCACATACATACATAAACACTCACGCCTGTCACCCAGAGGGGTAGGCAGAGACTACAGACTTCCATTTGGTACGATCCTGACACACCTCTCTCGCCTCCTTCACATCCATACACCTACGCATACATGCTCGTCGGTTAAGGGTACTCCTAATTTGGCCCGTTTCCAATAAATCGCCAATTTGGTCGATAAATTTTCGCCTAGGACGTCCCTTTCCGACTCTGCCATTCACTTCTGCAACATAAATTTTCTTTGTCACTCTTTCCTCATTCATTCTTTCCACATGACCAAACCACCGAAGCATTCCTTTCTTAATCCTGGTCACAACATCATCTTGCAAACCACACACTTTTCGTATTACACAATTTCTTACCCTGTCATTCAGATTCAGCCCTAACATACTCCTTAACGAACGCATTTCTACTGCGTTCATTCTACTCTCGTGCTTCTTCTGCCACACCCAACTTTCACTACCATACGTTAAAGTAGGGACCAACACAGCATTGTGAATTGCCATACGTGCCTTTTTCGACACATTTCGACTCTTCACAATAGAGTGCAAGGCCCCATTTACTCTATTTTCCGCAATAGAATCATTCTCTTGAAAATTCATTTTTACAAATTTTAACATAATATGTCAAAAAGTGATTACAAATTAAATATAGGTACTGAATTTCCAAACAATGGAGTTGGTGACGAATGACTTTACGTATGTAATATGTATATGAACATAAATTAATAGTCTACTGACCTAGGACTGTGAGGCGGATGTTCCTTCTTAGGCTGCAATTTGTCGAGTCCATTTTCTCTCGGTGATGGAGCACCATTGTGGGGTGACGTGGGCTCTTCGCTCGCGTCGTCTACTACTAATTCCTGTAAAAACATTAAAGAAAATATTAAAAGTAGGCGGCGAAAAGATTATTATTATCCCGTAAGCAGCATCATCCTGATAACTCAAAATATTAACGAACTGCGGTTGACAATCCTCTTGCCAAGAGTGGCAACTGAGGTAAAAAGGTTCCACAGTTGTTTGATAGGTTGTAATGAATGAGTGAAGATTTTTCCCAGAATTATAAAAAGTTAGTTAGTTACAGCCTATATACGTCCCACTGCTGGGCACAGGCCTCCCCTCATTTCTGAGAGGGTTTTTAGGGCAAGGAAGTGTCCGCCGCGCTGCCCCAATGCGTGTTGGCGAACTTCACATGTCTTCGAAATATTTTTTCTTATTCCTCAGACATGCAGGTTTCCTCACGATGTTTTCCTTCACCGCCGAACACGTGGTAAATCAGCACTTAAAATTGCATTTAACAATTTCATTGGTGCCGGCGGGGATCGAACCCGGGTTACTCGCATTCTGTTATATTTACAGCGAGCGTTAACCATCTGAGCTACCACGGCTCTTCCCAGCTCTGTCCAGAATTATGCACGGCTCTGCCCAGAATTATGTGGTTACATAATTTGTTCAAGTGACACACGTAGCACAAATTAAACATTTTATAGTAAAATCTAATTTGTAATACGAACCTTTGTTTGCAAGAAAATATATTAAAATATTTTAATACGGAAAATGAATCTTTTAAGGTACGTAATATAAAAACATCTGAGTGTAAAGTGAAAGAGATAAAATAAATTGAAAAAGTTGTTGTATTGTATTGTCTTAGTCTTGTGGCTACGGCATCATCTATTAATCTATTTTAAATTTAAAAAGTAGTAACCTTCGTAATATTTCTTCCTTTTTTTATATTAATACAAGTTCGAGATTTCCAGTCCAAATACAAAAATATGAAAGAATAAATGCAATTTAAAAAATAACATTTGATCGTGGCGACAGGCGATCTTTATCGCCTCGCCTTTGCCGTTTTTCTGAAAATTTAAAAAAAAAAATGTTTTTATATTTTAACTTATCGGAAGTAGGTAGAAATAAGTTACAATGATAAATTAAATAAATATGACAATTAGTAACTTACATGACCCATATCTTTTTCTTCTTTTTTAAGCTTCTTATGGTCTGGTTCCGCGGGACTTCGTGTCCTATACTTTTCCCGCTCGCCCGGTGATATGGAATTTCTCTGTAACAAGGGAACAAAAAACGAATAAAAATCCGTCGATACAATTCATGCGCTAGCGGGTCTTGTTAGCAATACAAATAAGAGAGGGCAAACATAATCAAAACGTTTACGGGCTTACGTACGTACAGCAATCAATCGATCATTGTTCGCAAATAAATCGACGCGCAGCGAGGCGAACGCTACAGTCAATATCAATATCAAAACACGCTGAGGCAGAACAAGCTGACCGCATGATTAGCTGCGGGTGTGGTCGCTCCCTTCTGTGGGGGAGGGGTACGGGGGAGTGCAGCTTTTGGCCGGGCGTACAGTTACGGCCTAATGAAATAATCATATGTGACGAACTGCCGCCACTATTACTCATTCCATTTCGTACAATGCCCGCCTGAAACTGTCACATCTCTGCACTCGAATGTACTCAGAGTACTTTGAACGCGTTTGTTCCGAATACTCCGATTTTCCGAATTTCGTGTAGCATTGCCAAGCTATTTCCATTTGCAGCAAGAGGTGCTCTTTGAAGCGTTTGTTAATGGACGTTCGAACTGTATAATGTGTCCATGATTTCAAATGTTTATTATAAATTTAATTTAATTTGTTCTTTATTTTGATTTAATATTTTAATGGCGCATATAATTCAAAAATTATTTAAAAATACATTTTAAGTCAATAGTAAAACTTAATGTTTACGATTTGAATTAACATTACAGTTATAGGGTGACGCTATGTAAAGCTTAGGAGATTTAATAATTTCGTGACATTGTGAAATAAATCTCCCGTTTATATAAAGTAACATCATACTATTTGGTACATTGGAGCCAAACTTGAGAGAAATAGGCAGTCTTATTCGGTGTTCTGTTGGGAAGACGATATGTATAGATAGCAACGGCCGGAGGGCTCTAACGGGCCTAATTTTACGAGGCACTAAGTTAGAGGCCAGTGGCAAACGGCTGTTAATTTGCCCGCCACGCCGTCGACCTGTCGCCGCCCGCTGTGACTTACAACCTTCTTCCCGCCCACCGACACAATAACGCGTACGCCGAGATTCCAATTTGTTTATCGCTTCGCCCCACAATTAAGTTTACTAATACAACAATAATTATATTAACATCTTTTGGTTTTACGACATGCAGAAACAATATCGTGACATAAGATAAAATTTGTAGATATAGAGGAGTGGGGTCGGCAAACAGTACAATATTCCACGTTATTGGATATTTGATAGGTCGCATGTAACCAATAAAGTTTTATTGCTGGTGCGAAAAGCGAAGAAACGTAGTCACACGATGCGTGTGTTGTATTACGTGCTACGAAACATAGCGCTTTGAGGCCCAAATTTTACGATCGACCGATCTCCGCAGCATCGGAATATCGAATTTCGAGCGATGCTATTTCGAGAGGTACGGTGCCGTAATCCGACGTGTCGGTCTCGATTGGATGGATTTTATGTAGCCCGTAGGAGTCGTTCGCGTCAGGGTGCACCATTTGCGGTTAATCGCTAATTTAATAGATTGAATTTGCGGTTGGCTGCCGAGGTTAGGGCTCACGTGTTGTTTGTTATTATATTATACTTTGTGCATTTCAGCTTTGTGTGTATGTTATTCATTCCTTTCTATTTTTTTTTATAGGATAGGGTGACAAACGAGCGCACAGTCCACCTGATGGTAAGTGGTTGCTGTGGCCCATAGACATCTACATCTATCCTCTATTACGAATCAAGATGCAGATGCGTTGTCATCCGTGAGGACTAAGATGCAATGCCTCGTTTCCAGTAAAAAGGATCTCCGGTTCTCTACACTCACCATACTAAACACAGCAGCATTAAGCTACTATTTGACGCTGGTATTCTGTGAGAGCGTGGTCCTTCCCCGTTCGAGCCGACCCATTTGTGCTACAACTATACTACTAATATAACTGCAGCAACAGCATGGCTCTACCAAGTCGAAATTTCGGAATTTTATATTTTATTTATTACCTATAACGATATAAAATATAAATAATAATGAAATATTGATTTTAGTTGGAATTTGTATTGCGGGCACTGAAATTGCTACGTTGAACAATATTATTTGTTTCAATAAAAAGTTCCGTGGAAAATATGCGAACCAAAATGTAAAATATGGAATTAAAAAATACAGATGTGAAATTTTTCGAAAACTGTGGTTAACAGAAAGTCTCCGTGAGAAAGCCTACTTAAATCATTGTCTAAACCCGAAACTATCAACAAACTGCGTTTTGTTATAAAATGTTTAGCCGTTAATATAATAAATAATATGTTATTATTTTACTGAGACATGCCACACATAAACCGTCTTTGATATCGTCAGAAATTACATAGAAATAAAAACTACATTGGTCCAATGGTAAGGTACAATAAAAAACTATGTCAATTTTATGTTCATAGATTCAATAGTTTTCAGAGTGAAATGTGTTCGTATACATTACAGATACAACGAGGTCTAAAATTTTATTGTTAGTTTTGAAAGCTGAAAATTAAAAAGTTCACTCACACACTACAGAAACACAAACAGAAACTTTTTTATTCAATATAGAATATAAATATGTAATACTTATTGATAGTTACTTTTTTATTTTTTACTGGTTCGAAAAAAACCTCTATCCTGGGAAGAACCAGCAACATACCCAGCGCGAATTTGGAAAAAAAATAGCGGCTTACAATCATCTATGTTATAATCGACAACACATAACAAATTAAAAATAGCTTGGTAGCGATCACCCTTCCCGGGGGTTATTATCATTGATAAATTCCTTAATAATTTCTTATATTTACGCGAACACTACACATTGATTAAAACTACTTTTACGGATTTAATAAACGCGATAAAATCCGTAAAAGTAGTTTTAATCAAATTCCTTAATATTAAAATAACTCTTTAACAATTTTATTTATATATAATTTTATAAAATAAAGGTAATAAACGAGCACACAGTTCACCTGATGGTAAGTGGATACTACGGCCCATAGACATCTAACATCCATTCCCGATTAAGAGCCGAAATGATGTGTGGCTTCCCCTGAGGACTAAGATGGAATTCCCCGTTTCCAGTCAAAAGGGTCTCCGGTTTTCTACACTCATCACTCACCATAGGAAACACATCAGCATTGAGCTGCTATTTTATATTGGTATTCAGTGAGAGTACGATCCATTCCCAGTCGAGCGGACCCATTCGTGCTACAACCATAATATAGCAGCAGCATGGCTCTACCACGAAAAAAAAGTTATCATATAATATGACCATTTGTATAAAGTTAGTTATAAAACAGTGAAAGTTTTCTTAAGGCCCCGGTCTTGTAAAAATTTGTGTTCTCGCAAAATTTACAGCAAAACAAATATTTTTTATGGTATTTAAAAAAGAAAAAGTAAAACATATTTTACATTTATTAAAAGTGTAGGATTTGATATTTTGGAAACTGTTTTTTAATTTTATTTTGGTGTTTAAATTAATAGCTCTATTAGGCGTTAAACATACCTATGTTTATTTTACATGCGTAAAAGGTCTTATTAAAGTCTCTGCTATGTACAAACTATAACAATATCAAGAAAAGTATTCAGATCACATTTATTTAAATATTGTTTACAATAATCTGATCTGGTCATTTTTTTTATAAATGCTTTAATTTTCTTATTTGAAGGGCTTAAAAAGTTGTAATTTCATGATTTTTTTTACTGCAAATATCTATTTTTTTCTATTAGAAGTATAAATGTGGCAAAGTCGTACTTAAAACCACATTAAGTATAACTATTTTCAAGTAAATTAGAAATAAATAAAATAAAAAAAATATTATATTTTCGTACCTTTTACCTATATACCATTTATAAACTAGAAACGCGTGAAAGTTCGCTCAGTTCCGCTGGGATTTCTCGGCGTTCAGACGTGTGCTGTGTTGTTCAACGTTATTTTACCTCTCGCTCGCACGGTTGATCTCTTTCACTCGCGTAGCTCTTATGGACTGACTGGAGCATATCGTGAAATTTGCTCTACATAAATATATATTATTTTTATTTAATTGTACATATTAGTTCTAGTTTTTAGTGTGTAAGTGTATTAGTGTTTATATTAGTATTAGTGTGTTAGATTAATAATTGACTTTGACTTCTATTTGATGAATTTCAATTTACAACCAAAAGAAATAAACGGAAAAAGATGGATGGAAAAAAGAGGAAATATCCCTGTGTCAGTATAAAGAAATGTAAAGCAAGAGTTGAAGTGATGAAAAGAAACAGACTAAGCAGGTATGCTGAATACTACCTAGGTATAGGTGAATAATATTGATATAACTATAGTTAACAAGTGTAATTTGAGATATTATTTATTGCATTATTTATACACATGTACAACGTGCTGCTACAAAGGCGACGTTTCTGTACGTGGCAGAGCCATGCTGCAGTTATATTAAATGTATATTTGTAGCACGACTGGGTCGGCTCGACCGGGGAAGGACCACGCTCTCACAGAATACCAGCGTGAAATAGTAGCTTAACGCTGCTGTATTTCTTATGGTGAGTGTAGAGAACCGGAGACCCATTTACTGGAAACGAGGTATCCCATCTTAGTCCTCACGGGTGACAACGCGTCTGCATTTTGATTCGTTATCGAGGATAGATGTAGATGTCTATGGGCCACAGCAACCAGTTACAATCAGGTGGACTGTGTGCTCGTTTGTCACCCTATTCTATAAAAAAAACACAAATACGTTTTCACATTTTCGTTTCATGAAGCAATTATATTTCAATTAAACGTTATTATTTACGGATTTATTTAAATTTTAGAAACTAGCATCTTACTTATATAATAATACAATCTATACTTAGCTACTTAGAGAACTCTCGGCGAGCGGGCAGCGCAGGTAGCGTAGGCGACGCGTGCCCTCTTAATGTTTTTGTGAACGTTTCCGCGAAAAAGACGCTTACCTATTGTTTTATTTACTGTAATTAGGATAGTGATTAGTAGGGTTATGGTACTGCGATAAAGACACTTTGTTT